TGCTGACAGCGTGTGAAATAAGCCGAGTGTAGCAGCTGCGCAAACGAACAAATACACTGAAGGAGGCTCTGCTCTCACAGAGAAGTGTCAATGACTCTATGATATGGCATCAAATCCAATTAAAAAAATTGTAAATGAGGAAAACCTCTCTCAAGAGTTACTCGCGCGGAAGGAGACGCACTCTCGCGCAAGGAAAATCAGCCTGACACTCCACTGTTCCTTCTGCTCGCTATGGAGCTTCTGCTCACGCAAGAGCTTCATTGATTTTTGATAGTGGTGGGCGGGTCCCCGCGAAGGGGACAGGCGCATGCCACATACATCTTTGTGAATGTTCAGCAGCCATTCTCTGCCTGTCTGAAACCTAGTAACATTATTTTAGGAACTCCTCTTCTTTGAACAGGATCCATTCTAACTCCATGTCCCCAACCTCCGCCGTTACATAAGAAAAGTTTTCCTGGAGTTGGGAGTTAAAATCATTCCGAACAGGGGCCTCTGACAGTCATTCCCAACACACCCTCACTATTCACTTGGGTCTACCAGCTCTCACTGCCAGTCTTCCCTGCCATCTGATCCAACTCACCATCACATGGTGATTGGTTGACAGCTCAGCACCTCTCTTCACTCGAACACCTTGTGTTTCATGGATCATCCATGACTAGCACAGAAGTCTAATTACAATTCACCATTCAGGCTTAGATCAAGCAGGCCATTCTTCCCAATCACACCACCCAGGTTTCCCACTCATTGCCAACATGAGTATTGAAGTCTCCCAGCAAGACTATGGGGTCGGAAGGCTGCATATTGTTTACATATATATATATATATACATATATATATATATATATATATATATATATATATATATATATATATATATATGAGTGGTTATGGTTCACTCTTAAAAAAAGATGGTTCTTCCAGGTTTCGTTAGTAAAGACAGAACCATGAACACTCAAAGAACCATGTTTAAATGCTTAAAGGGTTCTTTGCATGGTGAAAAGTGTTGTATGTGATTCTTTATAAAACCTTTTTTTAAATGATTCTATATAGCACCTAAAAGGGTTCTTCTATTGCTACAATGTCAAGCTTGTAACAGTAGAAGAACCATTTTGGTGCTATATAGAACCTTACTAGAGAACCCTTAAAGAACCATCGTTTTAAGAGTGTAAAAAACAAAATCCTCTAAATAGGCACATTGACAATGTCCCTTGCAGTTGTAATGTAGTTTTAACAGTCTAACCAGACAATACTACATTGGAAAAACTACTGTTTTAGAAAAATCTGCATTGACTATGGTGAGCTGTAGCCTCAGTGTACAATGGTTTGCATGTTTTTAATGAAACCATTAGAGAGAGACTGTTTATAATAATATGAAAACTCTAAAATAGAGCTCTAAAACAGAAAGGAAAGGAAAAGGAATTTTTCATATTCGTGACTATTTCAAATTCGTGTCATTCCTGGGTGTGCAGTAATGGTAAAAGAAATGTGGAGAGTAGGACGCACTAGGACACTGGAAACGATTAGGAGACATACAACAGTCCGTGTGTCCAAACTGTATCCTATGTGTTACCAGTCACCGACGGAGGGCGCCCAAGTGACAGGTGGCTCGTTGGTCTAGGGGTATGATTCTCGCTTAGGGTGCGAGAGGTCCCGGGTTCAAATCCCGGACGAGCCCAGATTTTGAGACCAGAAGTCTGTCATCAGTGAATACAGTCCTATTACTACAGCTGCACAGCAGCGCAAAGCTTGTGAAGAGATAATAGTTGGATACTAGGTATCCCAAGAAAACAAATGGAAAAGTGAAAACTGGATGTTTGTTAATTCTTGTTCTTTAGAACATACTCTAAAAGTGGTTCCAGTTCAACCTAAAAATGACTTCATATGATAACAAGCAAATTAACTGCTTTAAATTAAAATAAATATCTTGAATGCAAAGCAAAAAAATAGCTTAGATGAACAAAATTTTACATCAGTTCAGACCTCAGAAAAACTTGAAATAAACTTCTGCCCTGTTCCACTTTTTAACAGTGTGTTAGTACTATATTCATCGAAGGCCGTTACTCAGGCCAAATGGGAGCCTTGGTAAAGGTTTGTCTCGTCACATCTACTTCACAACTACAGTCTCAAAAGCATAATGGTTTTGCAGGTGACCAGACATGTTGGTCTATGTTGTTTTTTTTTCTAGCAATGCAGACAAATACGGGTATCTTATATTAGAGGTTGAAATATAGAGATTAGAGCAAACAATCACTGAGCTACAGAGGCTGAGTTGAGCTGCAGCCCCAGTTCTGGGGATCTTGGCTGCATATCGCTGTTGTCAGAACAAAACCTTGTATCTCCAGTTTTTACGTTTTTCAGTTTTTGACATAATTTGAAAATGCCTGTTGTCCTTTACATTGTATGTAAATTTCACGATGAATGGATTAAAAGAAATGACCCAAAATTACTTGGGGAAAAAAGTCTGGTTCCACTGACTTACATTAAAAGTAAAGTAGGTTTTTCCTTCCCCTGTAAAGTTACCATTTTGGAGATACGAGGTTTTTTTTCTGACAACAGCGATATGTTTGTGTCCTAGTTCACAACCCAGCTCACTAAGGGCGTGATAATTTATAAGTGTAGGTGATGGTGTTAGCTGAAGAGAAAACGGGGACAGCATGGAGTCCTCACGACTGGAATTTGGGAGCGACTGCTGGGGAGTAAAAGAGCCTTTCTAAAGGGTTCAGTAGTCACCGATAGATGGCGCCTAAATGACAAGAATCTGTGTCTGAAAACAGGTCAGTGTGATACGTGGAAGCTGTAAATTTCTGTCTGTGAGCGTGCATCCCGACAGGCTCGTTGGTCTAGGGGTATGATTCTCGCTTTGGGTGCGAGAGGTCCCGGGTTCAAATCCCGGACGAGCCCTGATTTTGCCAGGAAAGTGTAACTGCACAGCAATGCCACAGTAGGAAAAGTTATCAAAGTAGTGGTTCCCTGTCCCATAAAGATTGTGTTTCACACTATGGACAAGATTCACCTCATGAGGAAAATGAGCCCATCATAATCTGAATCAGGCAAAGACAACATTAAAACAGGCAATGGAGCTATGGCTATTAGGCTATTTCAGCAAACCACTGAAGTGAATGTTTTCAGATTTCCACTGGTAACTTAAAAAGTTAAGCCATTTAGAACTTCTCATAATTATGATTAGTATCTCATAATATGGAGAAAGTTTCCCTCTCATAACTTGCTCAGAGTTACTAGTTCATAATTATGACTTTTGGACTTAAATGAACTCATTCATAAACACCTTTATTAAAAGGCAAACAGCTCATTGGTCTAAGGCAGAGGTCAGCAACCCTCCTCCTGGAGATCTTTCCTGCCAAGTTCAGCACAAACCTGCAGTTTCAACCTGAAAACATTTCCACCCCTCCCCTTTACCTACTTTATAAATGACTTCTTGTTTCATAACATTTAATAAACCCATCCAACTTTCCTCCAAGAGGAAAAAAAAAAACACTGCACCATTAGACAGCCTCGTTTGTTCCATTTACTCAAATGGAACTAGAATTAATTTAGGTGAGCTCTGTGACAATAAGCTGCCCCACTGTGTGCATCAGAACTCACACAAACCTTCAACATTACAAATGAAATGGGTAAATATAGCTGATAATACTGACACTGCTTATTTGTAGGCAGCTTACCTCTGAGGGAAACATATCTATGGATAATTAGGGCCAATGAAAAAAAAATGTTTTAAACATAATGAAGTTACAATTATGATTAGTATCTCATAATACTGAGAAAGTTTCCCTCTCATAACTTGCTCAGAGTTACTAGCTCATAATTATGACTTTTGGATTTAAATGAACTCATTCATAAACACCTTTATTAAAAGGCAAACAGCTCATTGGTCTAAGGCAGAGGTCAGCAACCCTCCTCCTGGAGATCTTTCCTGCCAAGTTCAGCACAAACCTGCAGTTTCAACCAGAAAACATTTCCACCCCTCCCCTTTACCTAGCAGTAAAGTATTTGATCCATCTAATCAGAGATTTCTGAAGACGACAGCTGGAAAAGGTGTGGCAGCTAAACATGCTAGTGGAACAGCAGTACGAGAAGACTGACCTCCTTCTGTAAGTTATTGAGAAGACAAAACGTCTCGGAGCAACTGAACAGCCGCAAAGCAGGAGGCCACACAAGCTCACAGAATAGAGCTGCTTAAAGTACAGATCACTACTGAGTTCCAAACTGCCTTTGGAAGCAGCATCAGGGCTAGAACTGGTCATCAGGAGCTCCATGGGTTGGACTTCCATGGTCAAGCAGCCGCACACAAGCCCGAAACTGCCTTTTCATAACATTTGATAAACCCATCCAACTTTCCTCCAAGAGGACAAACACACTGCACCATTAGACAGCCTTGTTTGTTCCATTTACTCAAATGGAACTAGAATTAATTTAGGTGACAATAAGCTGCCCCACTGTGTGCATCAGAACTCACAAACCTTCAACATTACAAATGAAATGGATAAATATAGCTGATAATACTGACACTGCTTATTTGTAGGCAGCTTACCTCTGAGGGAAACAGATTTATGGGTAATGAGGGCAAATGAAAAAAAAAACGATGTTTTAAACATAATGAAGTACTGGAAAAACATGCTCACTGATTATATATCAATGCAACATCTTTCAGCCTCCATCAAAAACAAATCCACCGAATTAAACTGGACCTGGTCAACATTAATTAACTTCCTACACAACGTCCTACAAAAAAAGTATTTTGAAGGTTTTACATTTAAATGTAAGGAGTGAAAAGTATATTTTTACTCTTGGAAATGTAACTGAATTAGTGTGCAACTGTTCAATTACAATAATACTTGAGTGAGGTGCAAATCTTACAAAGAAATACTTTAGTAAAGAAGTACAGTCAAGTATTTTTCAAGTCTAGGGGAATGCCAAATTCACTACATGATTTTAAAACAACAAAAATCATCTTTTTAAAATAATAAAAACAAACAAGAGAATTTTAGGGACATATAAAATAAATTTTATTATCCATTTTTGTTAATTTCTACAGTGTAGTTGCTTCTCTAGACACCATCATAAAAGAACGCAGCAACATTTTTTAGCTGGACACAGAGGCAATGCTAACGTCCATCTGGTATGTGCCCAAATATCAATATATAATTATTCAATGAAAACAAAAGAAGAAGAAAAAAAGAAAAAGGAACCTAAATTTGTCTCTCCTCAGTTCTTTACACTCAACGTAAAAATGAGGCCAGGAGACAGACGGGTGAGCGCATCACGATCAGGGCTGTGAGCCTGCAGCGGCTGGGACCTGTGTAGCCAGAGCACTCTGGGAGGAGATGACCGGAGAAGCAGCCATGTTGGCCATAGGCTGCGATGACGACATGGACGTGATGCCTCCTGTAAAAGAACAAACTGTCAGACATCAGAAAAGATCCAATCTGGCATATTAATGACAGGCCAACATTAGTTGAATAGGTTTAATAGTCAGGACTAATATTTGAAATATTAGCCCGGTATATTTCTTCTAACTGTGCTGTAATTGGGAATCCTTGAAAGCCTGTTTCTTCCAGGTATGAGGGGGTTAAAAAAAACAAAAAAAACAAAAAAAAACCCACAAGTGTATGATTTGACTGGCCGATTCATACGGGACAAAGGATCTGTGTAATTTACCCAAATTAACCCCAAAAGACCGGATCTCAACATCATTACAGCAGCGGCTGTGTTTACATTCAACCTTTTTTCCCAATCTGATTGAATACATTCTGATTATAGATTAAGACTGAGGTGTTTATCTGCTCACTCTACTCATCAATCTGATGGAAAATCTCCATTTACATGCACACTACAAATAATCCAATCCAAAATTACATGCATGCATAGACTACCACTAAGTGTAGACGTTACCATGACAATAAGCATTACATAAATCCAGTCAGAGTGAGACGAGCAGCAGTGAGCAGTGCTTGTGTTTTTAACTACTTTAAAATTAAACACCGGAAAACGTACTTCACATGTGCTTATTAAAGAAGGGGTGAGAAGAAGACGTCATGTTTTGAGACATAGGCTGGATGCCAGGCGCACCGCCATCTTTTAAAGTTAGGGTTAGGGTTATCATAAACTCCGTCTCCTCTGCAGGCCAGTTTCTGCTCCCGCCATGTTGAACATTATAAACTTGCGCTATGACACAAACGCACATGCGCAGAACGCAATTAAACTTCCGATTGGGAATGTAAGATACAGATACAGATACAGGCAATTACATGGCTATTATTCTTCAATTTAACGGATTATCTACAGGATTATCCACCTCGTTCAATCGATACAAATTGTATTCCGAATGGAATCTAGTCTATTCCGATCGAGGTGTATACACAGACATATCCTATTCCAATTGAGCTATTAGTCAGATTATTAACGGATTATTAGGCTGCATGTAAATGTGTACACTCCTAAACAATAATATGATGTCTGGCTACCTGGTATGTAGACTAGCACTGGGCTCATAAACTGGGTTTATTAAGCTTAAGCCAGGGTTACAACACATGACTTTTACCCCAATTCTCAGTCTGGCAGAGTCAGGGCTGGGTGGCTCTAGTCTGCAGATTTTGGGGCAGTCTGAGTCAGTTGGAAGAGAAAATGGAGTAATGCGTCAGGGGCACAGACTCTTTTTGACCCAAGAGTATAATGTCATTATGAATGACATTATGAGTCAGTATGAATGGACTCCAACAGCCAATGAAATCAGAGCACAAAAGAAGAAAACACAGCATATAAAAAAAGAAAGATGTTGAAAAGACACTTGTGTAGTGAAGCTTTTTAACGAACAATTTATGGCACAAGCACAACTGAATGCATGTGTATCAAAAACTCTAAATTCAGACTAATCACATCTTTACATCCATAACCCTCACTGAAACGGTTACCTGTGTTTCTTTACTTTTCAACACAAATAGCGCGAAAATGGCCGCAGCAGCAAGCCACTCAACGTTTGTTTATTTTCGTCTCCTAGTAATGGGAGAACGAGTGTGTTCGTGCAGAGTTCAGAGTTCGGTTGGCAACAACTTCTAAGTTATGGAGATCAAGAATTCGATCCCTGGTGATGATCCGTGGCCAGAAGTCTAAGAGAGTACAAATGGCCTCGTTATCTCTGGGTGGGTAGGATGGCCCCCACCGTCCCCCGTCCCCCATCACTGACATAACAACCGACATAACAGAACTGGCGGTTGGTGCCAAATGTGCTAAAAAGTTATGCAGTGTGTGATCCCAAGTTGTTTAGTGCATCATCCCCAATATTTGTCATCCCCAAAAATTTGAAGAACCAGTCAAACATTGTGAAATAATTAGACTTTATAATCTGTTAGGAATTTACAAGTCATGTAGTATAACCCAGACTTTACCAAATGCTGCCCAACAAGACAGAAAACGTATTGCTCTGCTTTGGTACATTCAAGATGTTTCAATTTTCTTTCCTCTAATTCTGCCATCACCAAAAAAAAAAAAACATCAAAAACTGAAAATCGTTTTATAAATGCAACTTGGTTCTTTGAATCGAAATCAGATCATGAGATGCACAGAAATTCCCACCCTAACAGCCAGTCAGTTTTGACATACAGCAAAAATTGAGAATATACATTGTTATTTAGACATAGTAGGAACTATAAGAAAATACGTTATTGTGGCAATATTTATATATTCTTTATAGTTATTTTGAGATTAAAAAAATAAATAAATAAAGAATCTAATTTTCACTTTAAAACGCAATTTTTTTTAAACACTGCTGCCTGAAACAGAGGTGAAAAAACAGGTGGTTTAATGGGCTTCCGCAGCTACAAAACTGTATTTGTGTCACTTAAAATTCAAAAGAAATTCAAATCAGTAAATTACACAAATGATTTTCAAACATACAGAACCTTCATGCTTCTTGTAATTAAAAATGGATTTGACTGAAAATTGAGAGCTTTACCAGTCATCATGCTGGAGGTGCTGACAGGAGTGGAACCAGTGGAAAGCCCTGATGTAGAGCCCATCCTGGCCTGATCTTTTACTACAGGATCTAAGAAGTGACAAACAACTAACTTGTGTTAGTTATACTACAATACCCATTAAGTATTAAGTCCTAAAAAAGCTAAATGCATAACACCTTTGACACTTCATGATGGAATGGAGCTGACACAATATTATATAGATATATAGACAGATGGGTAGCTCTATACAGTCTACCGCAGTACAACACCATTAGTTGGGACGCTGTGCAAAACGCAAATAAAAACAAAATGAAACCCCAATATTTAACTGAAAATAGCACAAAGGCAACATATGAAATCTTGAACATCGAATGTGATAAATTTACTGATTTTTAATTGTTTTTGTTTCTAAATCTGATGCAAGCAACTTGCTTCAAGAAAGTTTAGACGAGGCAACAAAAGACTAGTAAAAAGTTGTGTATTGCATAATGCTTAAAACATACATATTGGAACATCTCACAACAAATACAACAGGATAATTGGCAACAGGTCAGTATAATGATTGAGTATAAAAAGAGCATCCCAGATAGGCTGAGACTTTTACAAGTAAAGATCTTTGAAAAACTGTGCAGGCAAATTCATGAACAGCATTTCTCAATGTTAAACGGCAAACAGCAGCAAAGATACATAATATCATTAAAAGAATCAGAGAATCCGGAGAAATCTCTGTATTCAAAAGACAAGGCTGAAAACCAAAATTAGCTGGCCATGAATTTCGGGCTATCAGGCGGCACTGCATTAAAAACAGAATTCTGTAGTTGAAATCACTGCATGGGCTCAGGAACACAAAAACCATTATATGTGAACACAGTTCATCTCTGCGTTTAGAACTAAAACTCTACCATGCAAAGAAGAAACAATATATAAAGAACACCCAGAAAATCTGCTGCCTTCGCTGGGCCTGAGTTCATTTATGATGGACTGAAGCGAAGTGGAAAAGTTTTCTGAAGTCTGACAAATCAAAATCTGAAATTCTTTTTGGAAATCATGAACTGGGCTAAAGAAGAGAGGGAACATCCGGCTTCTTATCAGGGCACAGTTCAAAAGCAAGCATCCGTGATGGTATGGGTCTACATTGGTGCACATAGCATGGGTAACCTGCTGTGAAGGCACCAATAATGCTGAATGATACATACAGGTACTGGAGCAACATATGTCGCCACACAGACGTCTTTTTCAGGGAAGGCCCTGCTTATTTCAGTAAGACAATGTCAAACTATATTCTGCACATATTAACTACAGAGCCATGCTGTTGTAAAGAGTCCGGGTGCTAGAGAGACCTGTCACTCACTGAAAACATTTGCCACATTATGAAATTAAAAATACGACCATGGAGACCCTGAATCGTTAAGCAGCTGAAATTTTATGTCACGTGTATGTTTACTTTCAAAACTACAGCCATTTGTCTCTTTAGATCCCAAATACTTACAGAGAGTTGTTAAAAGTAATGGTGATGCAACTCAATGGTAAACATGACCCTGTCCCAACTTTTTTAAAACATGCTGCTGGCATCAAATGCAAAATGGGCATATTTTTTTCAATTAAGAATAAAATTTCTGAGTTTCATACCGTTTTCAATTAAATATAAAAGGTTTAATGATTTGCATTGCATACTGTTTTTATTTACATTTTGCACAGCATCCCAACTTTTTTGGAAACGGGGTTGTATATACCTAGTTGGCTATAGCTAACTGAACCTGAGAGTCAAATTGAAAAAATACAGACTCTTATTTTTCTGGGTTAAATTTCATCATAAGAACATCACATCAAGTGTAACTCACAAAAGTATGGGTGCTCCATGGCCTCCCGGGCTGTGAGGCGGGCTTGGTGGTCATAGCGCAAGAGTTTATCCAGGAAGTCCAAGGCTTCAGTACTGACCAAATGCTGGTTCTCACTATGTACGAATCTTTCCCACCTCTTCCTGGAATGTCTGGACAAGGGGGGAGTGAGGTGTAAAGATATGGGAAGAGAGGGGGGAAAAAAGATCATCAGAAAAATTCCTAAACCGGTCTTCTTTCTTACGTTAGCTGCGAGCACGGTGGTCAAAATCTTTTTTCACCGGTAAACGGGTACTTCACAGTGTGCCCTTCCAGCTTTTAATTTGGTCCATATTCAAAGACTTGATGCTCAGTTAATGGCACAACCCCTATACCTACAAAACCTTTCAATCTGTTCCATATACTGACCAGATCTACTTCAAAGAAAAATCTTCTTTGCACTAAACGTAAATAAACAAACACAAAATATCTAAATGGTCTTTGTGTATGTACATGGGGCCATGGGAGGTTGGGACAAAAACTCTGTCCATAAAATAACAATTAAAAAATTAAATTTTACTTTAAAACAACAAGACATACCTGCCCAAGATGTCATTGAACCGTGGATCAAGCTCTATGTTGTACTTGTCAATGTAGTCATACAAGTCCTCTGTGCCCAGTACTTTCGCAATCCGTACAAGCTGCAAAAACAGTACTCATTTAAAGCACCAGGGGGCAATGGTAACCACTCATTGGCACTGTATCACAAAGGGCTGACAACAAGTAGGAAAAAAAAGGCTTACAGTGTAGCTGCATAATTTGCTAATAAAATCTGAGTGGTGCTCGAGTTAAATTTATAGAAAAAGGAACAACATTATTGTAAATATTGTACTAGCAACTTCACTGCAAGTGTTCTCTCTGCTTTCAAACACCCAAGTTCACTCATGAACTAATTATCAAGCTCTCAATGAAGGTAGATACAATGCAGCATATTAAACATTAATCCTTGCAGTGCTGTTGTTCCCTAGTAACATAGTCTGGCACTACTGGTACAGGCTAAAAGAGACGCAATGTTTAGTCAACGCATTTCAAATTTCTGAGGAGTAAAAATATTGGTGAGAATTTTCAGCATCAATATGTCATTTACTACAGAATGACTCAATGTCTTTTTACCCCAATTACAATTAAGACGACAAACCATCATAGGCTGTACTCATGAGGTTATGTTAAAGCTTCAGTAGCACCATTTGATCTGTTCAGAAAAGTTATAAAAAATAATGAAAATAGTGCAACATCGGCACCCTTATCTGCTCTATGGGGCATTTCACATTATAATAAAAAGAGGTTTGCTGGAGTTTCATTTTTGTGCTGACACACAAAATTGTGGGTTTGTTTTCAAGTTACATAATCAAAATGTATTATTGTTTCAAAATAAACATAATCCATGATCTACAACATTTTGCCCACAGAAACAAACACTCTGCAAGTGCTCACTAGTATAAAATGTGAAATGCTACATTATAGTGCTACCATGAGGTCAAGCAGGGTCAAATTTGCCAAAGTAGTTGGGGGGAGTCCTGCTCAGTAATTTTGGTGTTTTGCTTGGACCCCTAATGAAAAAGCCAGGTGGTACAGCAGAATTTCAGAGATTATATCATTTGATTACCGGAAAATTAACTGCTGTAGCCAATTAAGCTGTTTTTAAAAATACATAAAGGTTCACAATGTTTCACTAACCTGATCATAGTTGTCATGTCCATGGAAGAAGGGCTCTTTCCTAAAGATCATACTGGCCAGCATACAGCCTAAACTCCACATGTCTAAACTGTAATCATACATCTTCAAGAAAGAAAAGGAAGAGAGACCACATTAGGAAAAGAGCCCAGCTGAGAATGCGACACAATTGTCCAGCTGAGATACAATAATTGCGTCCAGCCTAAATAACTACAAGCAGTTCAAATAACTGCCATCACGCAATTATGTAATAATTAGGACAGGCCCAAGTGTGGTATATCAAGCCATCGTTTGAGTTCTGTGTACCACAGGCTTTATAAGCTCCAGGCTTCTTAACGCAGCTCATTCAATGTATTTCAGTGCTTGTATGCAGAGATACTGTATACTGTTGAGTGTCTAAAAAGCTAAAACCATTTAAACTTTTGCTGCAACAAACTGTGATGTAAATGCATGTTAACCAATGAAAAATGCATAGATGGCCAAAAAAAAAAAGAAGTTGACCACTCTGATCTGCTCCATTTCGAACCACATCAACTCTGTCCCTGGTTCAGCCTTGTGCTTCCCTCATAAACGGATAAGGCCTGCAAGCATTCGCATCTACCACTCTGTTCTTGCTTTGTCTAATGTGTAAGCACCCTACTATTTAGATGTTACTGGAGGCCCTTATTAAGTAATTAGAAGATCTGAACTCTCCGAGGTAGTAAATCACCAGGACTAGTGCAGGATTTGACAGCTCTTTAATCTCTTCAAGGGTTTTGCCAAATTATTAGGAATATATACATTAGGCCATCTTTACAATACCACTGGTTTGTTTACCTAAATACCTGTAGACCAGGCTATATATACTCCATAAAGCTGCTGTTGCAGTGAGAAGGAGAGCTGCAAAACTCCCATTCTTAACCATTTTCTGTTCCAGAAACTTGGTGTACAAACTTCAAGCTTAGCTATAGGGCATATACCAACCACACTGAAATGTAATGTAACTGTCTGCAGATAATAATAATAATAATAATAATAATAATAATAATTTTATTTATATAGCACTTTTCATGCCGGTGGCAGCTCAAAGTGCTTTACAGACAGGTGATAAAACATAGTTATAGAAAAGATCATTAGTACTTAATTAGAATCAGAAGAAAATGAAGATTAAATTACAAGATAAACACCACGAGACATTCAGTTTTAGTTAAATGCTAATTTAAAGAGATACGTTTTTAGGTGCTTCTTAAAAGTGAGCACTGAGCTTGACTGTCTAATAAAAGGTGGAACTGAGTTCCACAGTTTAGAAGAATAATAACTGAAAGAGGCCTCTCCATGTTTTCTGTATTTTACAGAGGGTATCTGTAGAAGGCCACTATCTGCAGATCTTAGATTGCGTGCTGGAACATAAACAGACAGACACTCTGTGATGTAAGCAGGTGCCAGGTTGTTTTGAGCTTTAAAGACTAGTAGCAGAACCTTGAAATCTATCCTGAATGATACAGGCAGCCAGTGCAGTTCTTTCAAAACGGGAGTGATGTGATCTCTCTTTTTTGTTTTTGTTAGGACGTGCGCTGCTGCATTTTGTACAAGTTGTAAGGGATGTGTAGATGTGTAGGGAAGTCCAGCAAGAAGAGCATTACAGTAGTCAAGTCTGCTTGTAACAAATGCATGAACAAGTTTCTCTGCGTCACTCTGAGATAGAAAATGCCGAACTTTAGCGATATTTCTTAAATGATAAAAAGCTACTTTAGTGACCGTGTTTACATGTGGGGTAAAACAGAGCTCAGAGTCTAAGATCACACCCAGGTTTCGTACTTCAGGTTTGGTAGATGAAGCTAAAGAACCAAGTTTCTCAAAAATCATTTTTCTCTGAGTTTCTGTACCAACAATCAGTAATTCAGTTTTTTCATGATTTAATTGTAGAAAATTTTGTGACATCCACTGAGAAATATCTGACACACAGCTGGTTAGTCTGTCTACAGAGTCTTGATCTTCAGAAGGAACAGAAATGTATAACTGGGTGTCGTCAGCATAGCTATGAAAATTTATACTATGTTTCCTAATAACATCACCTAGAGGTAGCATGTACAAAGAGAAAAGCAAAGGCCCTAAGACTGAACCTTGGGGGACTCCACAAGAAACGGCAAATCGTTTTGATGAATGATTTCCAAGTGAAACCATGAACTGCCTATTACTTAAATATGATTTAAACCATTCTAAAACTGTGCCTGAGAGGCCGACCCAGTATTCAAGACGCTGAAGTAAAATATTGTGGTCAACGGTATCAAAGTCTTCACTAAGATCTAATAAAACCAAAATAGAAGGATTTTGTGCATCAGCGCTGAGCCTGAGGTCATTCATAACGTGAATCAATGCCGTCTCTGTACTATGGTTAGAACAAAAACCTGACTGAAACTTCGCATATAAATTGTTTGATATTAGATACGTAGTTAGTTGTTTGAAAGCAACTTTTTCTAAGACTTTACTTAGAAAAGGTAGGTTTGAAATCGGTCTAAAATTATTTAGTATGGAAGGATCCATGCTACTCTTTTTTAGCAGAGGCTTCACAAGGGCAGATCCTCACCAGATCCTTACTGCTATAGGTCATCTAATAGTGGAACCGTTGGTATGGCTTTATATTGTACAAACGCCCTGCTATTGATAGCCATTGGTCATATATTGCAGCGGTGACATCTCTGTGTCTCTCGCCCACCATCTTAGTAAGTCTACTGCAGCTCTCCATCCCACACTGACAAAAAACCTCCTTCTGCACATATGGAAAGGAATGCCATAAACATTAATAAACAGAATAAAATAGATTTTAGTAGACCAGTGTACTTTCAGATATCAATGTTTGATAACGAACTTATACACATAAATGAACACATTCACTAACCTGGTAATCCACCAGCAGCTCAGGTCCTTTGAAGTACCGGGAGGCCACCCTGACATTGTACTCCTGGCTTGGGTGGTAGAACTCTGCCAAGCCCCAGTCTATCAAACGAAGCTGAGAAACCAAACAGCACAGAACGAGAGGCTATTAGAGACGACACATAACAAATGTCCTAATAATGACCATTATGTTTAGCTCAGCTGTTAAAACCAAACTTAACAATCACTTTTTTTTATTTTTTCATTCCAGAACAGGAGTTGGACTACATAAGGATGTCTCCCACTTAAAAATTTAAACACAATAAACGATGAGGGTATTTCATTAAGCGCTATTTAATCAGGGTGTGGTCACTATGAACTTGCTTCTCTTGTTTCATGCTTGAACAAGAGGGACAGATCTGATTTTGCACACTGCATTATGTGTTAATGAACATCCTATAAATTGTACTTTTGTTTTGATGCCTAAATCATTCCACATTCATACATGCAAGTCCATCTTTTTCACTTTCAAACAGAGGTTCTGTCTTTTGTTACAGTAAAAAGTGTTTTAGACTCCTGTTAAAACAAAGAATAAATCCATTGTACACACACTTTTCTCATTGTAAAACGAAGAAAACTGAAAAAAGGCTTCCCTCTGAACATATGATTGTACATTAGAATTTCTTTTGTTGTACTTAGATATATTTGATACGATCCACAGTATAAAATCACATTCTGTTTGTTGCAACATAAGCATTTAACAATGGAAACTGAATTGCCACATAAAAATGCATGGGGAGTTTATGAGTACCACTGAGCTGCCTCCCAGCTCTATTTCGAGGACTGTGGGTGGAAAGAGCAAGACAGCCGTGTTTTAGTTATGATGGAGGAGCTCAGAGTATGACGTTAACTGCACCGTCAACCGCTAAGGATTAACAGTGGGAAAGCCAATACCTTTCTATGCTCGTGGTCAATCATGACGTTGTGTGGCTTGACGTCTCTGTGCATGATTCCCATGCTGTGGCAGTAGTCCAAGGCCTAAGAAGAGAAAATGGGAAATTTATTTTCAATTGACTGTTTATAAATTGGATAAAATTATTATTGAATTCTAAGACATGAACAACTGAAATTAAAGAGCAAATAAGTGAGTAAAAGAGCATTTCACAAATAAGGGCAAGTCTTTAACTTGACAAAAAATTCTAATATTCATTGACCTTCACTGAGAAGACTAGAGCACAAAAAAGGGGTTGAAAGAGGGCCAGAAAGACAAAAAACAGAAAGAAAGAAAAAGACAGACTGAAAGGACAAAAAAGCACCAGGCAGAAGGAGGACTGTGTCATACACAGGGCCCAGCAGAGAAGTCTCACTGTGTGAGCGAGATGCCGCTTTCACTGATGCAGTTTAGCCTTCCTGAAACTGACAGGAAGCAGGCTTCCAAACAGGCCAGTGTGATCATGCACTCAATCTAACCAAACACAACTGAAAAAAATTAACCACCATTCATAAGTGACTTTATCAACACTGGAAATGCAAATATTAAAAAAAGAATTAGCAAAAGTTATAAGCAGAAGTTATACTCTAAGTAATGCATGAACAAAAGGCACCAACTATTAGTAACCTGCTCACCCACCAGAAATAAGACAAAGCGAAAAAAACTAAAGATAAATAAGCAGAACTTAAAAACAGAGCAAGCGAAACCTGTACCCCCCCAGCTAACAATTCATTCCTTTGTCCACATATGGCTGTGTGCAGAGTAAATGATATGGGGTGGCTGGGTTGTTTTAAGCAGCTGTGGCTGAGGGAGTCAGAGTGACGGAGAGAGCGGGTGAACTGTGCTCCCTGCTGTCCGCTCGTATAAATCCTCCAGGCTTAAACACATGTCGCCTCCATATGGGCCATGCTTGCCACCATGCAGCTTAATCCTGCCTTGCCACTAGCCTCTACAGGCCTGCAGAGTCTACAAAATAATATCTGGACAAAACAATGCAGGCCAATAATGTCACAGTATTGATTCACCACAGTTGTTAAATATATTGCAATCTGAACTGCAATATACAGCAACAAAACAGCAATACTAGGGCAGCCCTATTCTGTGCACAAATTAATCTTTTACCCATAGCTAGTTCCAGCTCTTCCAACATCTCATTCCAAGTAAAAACACTAGATTGGTTTCTGACCAATGGAAAAGCCATTTCAAGGTCCAGAAGAACAATATTCAATATGCAATGTTTTGGAAACTAGGCCCAGCCTGGCCCACTTATCAATGCAAAACATTCAGTGAATAATAATAATAAAAAAAAATGCTTAAAGGGACATTCAAACAAAACTCACTATTTCACTGTGCACCTACAGTAATGCGTGTTATTGTGCTGCATCCTTTTGCTGAAGTATTGTGAAAATGCATTCTACTGACAAAGGCAGTCTTGTAAAATAACAGGAAAAACATTTATATTTTAGCTGGGAACTAAACTTTTTCTGCAGGACCTCTGTCCAAGTAAAACCGACTGCCTGGGCACTAGGAGACAACACAATCTCCATAAACACTATAGCCAACATTTTCCTAGATCTGTGTTAATCTGTGGAAGTACTTAGATACAATTCACAATAAAGAAATAAGGCTTAAGAGGCCTAAATGATAACCCATGATGCCATTCCCAAATGTGGAGACTCAAGAAGGTGACAGCCAGACAGTTTTCACTGCTCACAACCTCAAAATTAACTTTGAGCTATTTCAGACAATACAGAATGTGTTGGAATGAAGCACTGGAGACAACACTAGTTATGCTTCTGTGGGTACAGCAAAGAACAGAAGCCTGCAACTGCAGAGATCCCTTTCTGGGAAAATCATACAGAGGAGTCATACAGGTTTTTTCTGAAAGCCACTGTAGTCCTTGATCTCAGCTTAAATACCTTAAGATCACTATTTTAGTACATTGTACATACTTCAGCAATCAATTAGTTCTCAGCATACTGTCACTATTCAATGAAAAACCTCCATTTTATTTTTACTTTTCTAAATCATTTGAACACTGCAGCCCTACTTTAAAAACTGTGCGCAAATTCATTCATGATGAATGGACACACAGAAAGGCTCCAAAATCACTTGGAATAGGATCTGTTTACATTAGCGTGTAATACAAGTTAAGAGCTTGTATTACATGCTAATGTAAACAGAACTAAGTTTTGTCTTCTCCTGAAAATTTACTACTTTGGAGATATTTGGCTTTTTTGGACAGTGATGATATGGTCATTTTAATATCTTACCTTTAAGATTTCATACATGTAGAACCGGATGTCGTAATCTGATAGCGTTTGATACAATTGCTGCGACAAAAACAAAGGAAAAGATGGGGTCAAATTGCTTTGAAAATGTGCTGTTTATGATCTAATGTTATATATATGTAATGCAGGACTTCACCTTGAAGTCTGTGTTGTTAACGTGTTCAAAAACCAGCGCAGGTGTTCGAGACTTGAGAGAAGAAGAAGAAGCCAGTCAGTTATTCTCATAAAGAAACACATTTATCCTAATACGAAAACACCAAAAATCAGCTTCAGAATATATAAAACCACTACTCCCTCCCCACCCCCACCCCCCCCATTCAACCCCACTAGACATCTACAAAAGTCAAACATAACTTATATAATTATTTACATTTCTAATGGAAAGTCTGCATCTTATACATCATGTAGTTAATGAGAGCTTTACTACTTACCACTGGATCCTTGACGATGTCTAAAAGGGTTATGATGTTTGGACCGCCTCGCAGATTCTCTAAGATTTTTATTTCTCGCTTGATTTTCTTCTTTTTTACTGGCTGTAGGGAGAAAGAGAAAAGAAAGATTCTTAGTTCAAAAATATTTTCAGTTTCAGTGGGTTCGGAAACAAACTGACACAGGCCACTTTATCTGATTGAGTCTCAGTATAGTCTGTGTTGTGCTCGCCCCATCCTGTCTCCAGTGAGGGGAAGCTCAAAATAAAATCCTGGCTACATTAAGAGAAAATGCGGCTAATCTTCACAAGTATTTATCACATAGCATGAAAGAAGCTTCTCAGCTCACAGAATGTTATCAAGTGAATCTGGAGCTATGTTCAGCTGAGAGGAGAAAGACGAATTCATTAATCCCCCCTCTTAATTCGGACTCCAGCCAAAAGGATTTAGTTACAATACTTTTTTAATGTTACAGTCCATAATACAAACAAGCTTATCTGGCAAAGGTGCTTGTCAGTGACTCGGAAAATGAGAGTTAGGACGGCATGTAATGTAAGAGGTCTAGTCTACTCTTCTGGTAGATTGTGTTCCAATAAACAGAAATTAAACACCAACTTCTTTAAGACTTCCTATGACTTCTCCAAGACTTCCTATGGCATTGCTCTGATCCATCCAGCCAGACAGGCAAACATTCATCCAGCAAGAAGGCCAACTCATCCACCCATCCATTCATTCATTCATGAAGAAAATATAGCCAACTAACAATTTAATCAAGCAATTTATTAGTTAATCAGCTTTAAAAAAAACTGCGTTAGATCTAAACACAGGTATCCAACCCACACAGAAAAGCAGTCTAATATCCTTACCTTGAGTATTTTAACAACTACTTTCTCATTGTTTGTGATGTTGATGGCTTCAAACACTTCACTGTATTTGCCACGACCCAACTTTCGCACCAGCTGGTAGTCATCCTGATTCCTGAAGAAAATCACAAAACAGGTCTTATTCCAGATCTTCTGTAGAACAGACAGCAGCATTACAACCCAATTCCTTAAGGTCAAATGATAAGTTCTAAAAAGACGGTAATAAAAACAGTGATAAGTAAACATCATCACAGCTCTATAACAGTCTATAATGTACTGTGACTTAGGACTGAACGATTAATTGTTTTTATACAGAAATCGCAATTCAGAAGATTGCAATTTTCACAACACAAAAGCTGCAATTCTGTCTACATGCTACAGTATTTAATGTTGTCTTAACAATTGGTAAAATGTAACCTAATAACACGGGGCTCGTAAACTGGCAGTCTGACGTCTGGCACACAAAATTCACTGTTAGAACTATCAAGTCAGGAAACAGATGTGCAGGCATGGAGCTTCATTTAAAGAAAATAACCGCGTTTAAATCGCAGGTGCAATATTGGTCAGAAAATTGGATATTTTCCCAAATTGGTTCAGCCCTACAATGACTTCACAACTTTTGGTCTTAAGTCTTGTACTGATAAAAAGTAGCACATAAGTAAATTTTGTCCATCTGGTCACTAATTGTATTCTTGTTCCTGTTGATCTAATAATTTTTACTGATCATTCTTAAATGGGCCCAAAAATGCATAAGAAATAGAATGGAGGATCAGGTAATTCTCCAACAATTCTTTTAATCCACCGCACTCCATCCTTTTCACCAGAAAGAGCTCACCCCCACTCCACAACATGTGACTCGTAGTCCCAGTACTCCCGTGGTCTCTGTGTGTTGACGTCTGGGTAAACCCGGGATCGGCTGGTGACTGGGCCGGACATAGTGAGGGTGCACAGGTGTTTCTGTCAGGCCTGTGAGAAGGAGAGAGACAGGTTAAGAACAAAGATGACCAAGTAGCATATTGCAGTGAATCAGGTTCAGCATCTGTGTGTATGAACCCTATGACCTAGTATGAATGTGGGTTTCTCAACAACACATGCATGTACTGGGAGAACACCACATCGCATGACTAGTATGCATGTCGTTTAAAGCCCACCAAGCTGTGGCCTCTTGAATGTCTATTAAATTGGATTAAGACACTGAAACTCAGCCCAGAAGTTTTAATCTAAGTGCAAGCGAAGCGAGGAAGACTTGTTCACGGTGACATGAGGTGAACTCCCGCTCTTTCAATGCTGCTGTAACTCTACTACTACCAGACCTAGAGGTTAGTAATATGACAATATTTCATTGCAATGTATTTTGCTAAAATAAACAATATGCTTTTCTGAGCATATCAGGGGTATTGTCAGTACTAAAGGAATACTGATCAACTGCATGTTTCATCACAAAGGGCATCTCATTAGATCTGTTTAAATTATTAAAAAGTGCTGTGTGTGAAACACTGAATAAAAATCATTGTGACCAGAATTTTTAATGGCACTTTTAAATGAGGTACTCTTAGTGCATTGTGTCTGTCAAAATATTGCAATGCCTATTGTGCATCATGAAAATGTCTATAAGTATCATCCTAAGAAAATGTTCTGCTCCCCACTTGCCCCTCACTTACACACAAAAAAAAACCCCACTCCATATGAAACATTCTTATTATTCACCAATCAGGCATAACATTATGACCACCTACTTGTTTCTATGCTCGTTGTTCATTTTATCAGCTCCACGTACTATATAGGTGCACTTTGTAGTTCTACTAGTTCTACACTTACAGACTGTAGTCCATCTGTTTCTCTGAATACCTTGTTTGTCCCCTTTTACCCTGTTCTTCAGTGGGCAGGACCCCCATGGACCCTCACAGAGCAGGTACTATTTGGGTGGTGGATCATTCTCAGCACTGCAGTAACACTGATGTGGTGGTGGTGTGCTACTGTGTGTTATACTGATACGAGTGGATCAGACACAGCAGTGCTGCTGGAGTTTTTAAACACTGTTTCCACTCACTGTCCACTCTATTAGACACTCCCACCTTGTAGATGTAAAGTCAGAGACGACAGCTCATCTGTTGCTGCACAGTTTGTGTTGGTCATCCTCTAGTCCTAAACAGTGGTCACAGGATGCTGCCCACAGGACGCTGTTGGCTGGATATTTTTGGTTGGTGGACTATTCTCAGTCCAGCAGTGACACTGAGGTGTTTAAAAACTCCAGCAGCACTGCTGTGTCTGATCCACTCAGACCAGCGCAACACACAATAACACACCACCACCACATCAGTGTTACTGCAGTGCTGAGAATGATCCACCACCCAAATAGTACCTGCTCTGTGAGGGTCCATGGGGGTCCTGCCCACTGAAGAACAGGGTAAAAGGGGGCAAACAAGGTATGCAGAGAAACAGATGGACTACAGTCTGTAAGTGTAGAACTAGTAGAACTACAAAGTGCACCTATATAGTAAGTGGAGCTGATAAAATGGACAACGAGCATAGAAACAAGGAGGTTGTCATAATGTTATGCCTGTTTGGTGTATTTAGCTTATGTCTTTAATTCACTAACAAGACAATAAACATTTAATTTAATGAACTATATAATTTATGGCCATTATTAAACATAAAACTAGTTAAGTTAAGGTATTGACTTGCAACCTAATTAGTAATATCACACAGAAAACACTGCCATATGCAAATCTACAACCGATGATGCCATGAAACCTTGAAGTCAGGTGAGGGTTTTTGCTTATATTCTCACTCTTGTAAAGATGAAATTTTGCTTAATTCTTTACTCTCATTCTGTGTAATGGCTGATATTTGTGTGAGTGTGCGTGCAGTATTAATTCCACAGTACTGCCAGTGTTAGCTACTAAGTAAACAAAGCAGGCAAGTAACATGACTAATTAACGAATTTGGCCATTTCAGGCTTGTATTTTTATGGTTGCAAACAATGATTAAATCGTTAAACCACAATTATTCATACGAAAATAAACAGTCAGCTAAAATTCCATGATCATGACAGTGCTAGTCATACCATGACAATAGTTTACTGTTTATTTTTTTTTTTTATTACAGCAGTTTTTTTTTACAACAAATGTTAAGGTAAATATTAATCAAAATGTAATTTTTCCCAGCATTATTCATTTTTTGTTTATTTATTATTACTGAAGTTATTTGTAAATTAAACTTCTGAGATACATGAACAAAAATGTCTTTTGTACGTCTGTTACGTCGCTGACGTATCGTATCATGAAGTTCAAAGCAAAGCCAGTCCCTAATCAAGCCATAGACATTCATTCCACCAACGACTGGCCGTGCTATGTCACCACTGAGCTTTATTATTCAAAGTTTTCAAGAATTTGCATAAGGCTGACACTAAGAATGAAATGAAATGTTCTAAGATGAACTTTGTTGTTCCACATCTTTGAAGTAGAACATAAAAAACTACACAACACATTCATGCTACCCTGAGTGCAGAGGCCCCCCTTCTATCAGATTACTGGTCTGGGCTTGGGGAATTTGTGGGCCCCTTTTGGCACAGACAGCACAATAATGGCCTCAACCTTTTTAGTGTAGTTCCTTGTAATGTAGGTAAAAATGATCTGAAGAGATCAGGACACTAGCTAGTCAAGTGTCACTCCTTCTGATTCAAGACTACACCTGAACATTTGTTTGGAAAAGGGAAACATTTTCAAAGATGACATGGCCAAGCCCAACAAATCAAGCAGGCCTCAATCACTGGAAAGTCAATCAATTCACTTCAATCTGGAGGTGGATCATAGCTATAGTTAAACTTAGTGGAGATGATGTCTATGCACTGTTTCAGTAATAGGGAAATTACACCGTACCGAAAGAGCCCATGCGCCCATCCATTCACTAATCAAAGTTCTCTTTAATCTTAACATCAAAAAGAAAACACAGACTTAGTTTTAGTGGGAATTTGTCAGGCCATGAATGTACATACCAACAATAAGAAGTAATAAAAAGTTATTACGAACAAGAACATCAACCAGTCCAACACAAAACAGATAATGATGTTAAACAGCATCCTTCAGGACTGTAATTCCAGATACAATAGACAGTTGTGTTGTGCTACTTATATGGTCTGGAGTGTCATTCCAGAAATTCTTGAACCTCAACTTCCACCTACCTTGGAGGATGAAGTGTTGTTGAAGTACCACAACTAAACTTGATATCAAATGCTGTGCACAAAAAGTGCAAGTCACAAGACCTCTGCCAGCTGAAGAGAAACAAAGCTTTGTCTGCCTGGATCAGAAAGGACTACTGTCGTATATGTGAGGTAAAGCCACAACGGAACTGGCAGAGAAATTAAATAAACGGAAATTATCATACTTCGCAGTTGCACCTTATGAATTCAAAACAAAAATGTTAACGCTTAACTGAAGTTAAATCTCAAGACCACACATCACTTTCCCAACCCATAATTCTTGCAACTGGCAAACAACTGACCTATGTCATGGCAAAAGACAAGCACTGAAATGATGGAAGAATCACAAAAGACTTCATTGTCTTCTGTAGGCAACTTTGCTGGGTAAGTTTAGCTAGAAAACTGATATGGTGATGATCTGTGCCTTGACAAAGAGTGGTAAAGGCAAGAACATTAATATTAGATGACAGAGCTACTCAGTGATAAGATTTTGAAGCTTCATCAAGCAACTGGAACACCTGCCATCAATTATGTCACAAAGATCCAGGTCACTTAACAGAATGTGGGAAAGAGAAGCTGATGCCACAGGACAATGACTTCAGTTAGAATAAATATTTCTATGCAGCTTGCACAACAGACTAACTTCAGGTGCATGGGAAAAGCTTGTACTGAAAGAGAATGCAAGAATGGACAGTGAAGCCAAAAAGTAGCAGCAATGGTTAAACACTTGGTCACAAACCAACTAAGCAAATCTCCTTTTACCAATTACTTGAAGTGTAATTCTTCAGACTAGTTACAATATTTATGCAAGCTTTTTCCACAGATCCCACACCTCCACACAGTCATTGTTACTTAACAATGCATTACAAGGGTGTATTAAACTGAAGTCAGAAAATAAAAACGCTACTGAGGCCAAATAAGGACTATGTACGTATCTTTTAAAAATCTACATTGACACTTGGTTTGATTCACACTGTAGCAACCACAAATAGGCCTACTTGTTCTTGCATATATTTTCACCAAAGACTGTGAAGCTTGCATCAAAGCAGCCTTCAAAAGCTGCAGCTTATTAGTGAAACAAGTAGAGGCTGTTTAGCTTATACGTAACATCGCACCAACATGGAAGTGTCTAGTTAATTTCAACACTAGAATTTAAACAGCTTGTTCTGCCTTACTTAGACATCGGGACATGTCAGAATACTGCTTGTTTTGTCATACTGTTATAATAAATGATCAAAATTACACAGTCAATCTCAGATGAAGGTACAGTATCTCACATTTCACAGAAAATAATGAATATATTAGTTTCTTAAACAGGGTTAAATAAAAATCAAGGTGAAACAGTCAACATTCAGGCAAAAACAGCATTATTTTATATGAGAAATGTGTCTACCACGCCTAAAGCCATGCACGTATATAAAGGTATAAAGCTTTGTTGATTTGTTGATGCATTACTCATTGTTACTGCATTACTCACCATCTTAATCAGTTTACTTATTTATTAGCTGGGTGATCAGTTTAGAATAAGCAGTCTGGATCATATAAACTCATGCATCACATTGTGTTTAGGTTGGTTGCCTAGCTATAGAATGAACCCTCAGCCATGTTATGTAGTGTAACGTTTCAAGCTGAAATAGCATTAATTGGAGCAGGAGTGACCTCACACATTAGAAGTCTAACCCACACTAGAGCCCGACCGTTACAGGATTTTTAAAATCAATACTGATTTTGATACATGAGGATTTAAAAATCCAATATCAGCCGATATTTTTTCTTCCTCTTTAGAAATACATATCGTAAAGACTTTACCTACCATGCTACATGTAGGTATTTAAGAGTCCTCACCAAGATAACATGCAACTTTGTGATTTCAGACTGTAGTGAAATCACAAATAAGCATCTGTTATATTATCGTTTACAGAATTTAATGATTAACTGGATTACATGCAGGAACATCTGAACATAGCTTGTTACTCATAACTATACCGAAATTCCTTTGTGAGAAGTGAATAACATCTCACAGCATATCAATGCGCTCTAACAAAATAGTACCATTACAAGACACACTACACGTTTGAAAGAGAAGCTAGATAACTTTGTTTGGCTACCAAGCCTTGTTAGACGCTTGTTAAGCTCACATTTATTAATGTGACCCCTTTGGTTTAATAATTTCCAATGCACCGACTGTAACTGCAGATATGCGAGTCACAGATGTATTTACCATTGCTTCATTAAAGCACGAGGCTGAAGTTGGCTTCCTATTCGCCAGCTTCTTGTTTGAATTTTCCTGTTGCACTTCAACTGGTGCAGCAGTATTGTGGCGCATAAAGCTACTGCAGTAACTGCTGCACCATTTAAGGTGGAAACAGATAATTTGAACAAGAAGCTGTCAAATAAGAAGCTGACTTCAGTTTTATCATTTAGGCAGACTAAGTTAAACCCTCTAGTTTAACCGCTCATTGACGTTAGTTGCTTTCCACTGACAAACACAGCGTTAGTTAGCTTTGTGGTTAAGCTAATTTAGCAACGAACAGCGTTAAGCTGCTGTAAGTAATGGCGGCAGAGAGTTTTTAGAAGTGATGAGCTGCGGAGAAAAGACAGGAGTGCCACACTTTCACAAATTAATCTACAATCAAGTTTGTCAACATCTTAGGCTACACCACACTACTAGCGTAACGTTAAACATAGGCCAATTATATTTTTTTTGCCTGACAGTACAGGCTTTAGTAAAGCAGGCATGGCTGACATGGATGTTGCCTGGTTTATTTAGGCTAAGAGAAGAAGTAACGGGGATATTTTTATTATTATTTAACTAAGGTATTTCACGTGACCAATATCAACTCAATGAACGCTGGCAACCTCTTTCGTGGCTTATTCTCTATTTAACTCTACTTGGTCAGCTGATTGTGATTATGTGGTGTTCCAAACACGTGTGCTACCAGTAGGGAATGTGCAGAGTGCCCTCTGATGCACAAACTACGCAACGACAACACTCATAACGTTTTTTTTTTTAATTGTCATTTGGTGGTCGATATGAACACTGATACCGATTAATCTGCAATTATCTGACATCAGCCAATAATACTGGCACGCTGATTTATCGGTCAGGCTCTAATCCACACTACTCTAAAATAGCCCTGTGAAAAATACCCAAGTCTACAGTATTATAGGGGCTTTGAGCAGCTTTGCTGTTACATTCTGTAAACTTATGGCTTTGAAAAACAACAAGCTACATCTACTATGAACAGAAAGACAGATCAAATAAAAAAAGTAAAAATTTCAAATTTGGAAAAACAATTATGTGGGTACAACTAAAGCAAAAAAAAGGATCAAAATAATAACAGTCAGGTGCTACCATTAGAACAGATTTACTGCTGATAAGTTTAGTTCTACAGCTGGAAACTGGCATGAGGTTTAGGGCTTTGGAAACATAAAACAAACCAGATAGCAGAAATACCATTATCCAGGCTACATTACTTGCTTCTACTTCTGTAAGGTACAGGCTCTGCTCTTAAGACTTTGCTTTTTTTGTACAATGGCATTGGATAATAAGGCAGTACTAAAAAGATACATATAAAAAGGCTTTGTGGAGTACATAGGATAGAGTTTTTTTTTCTGGAGCCATGAAAAATATTTTCTAACATTGTTCAAGTCAATTATCCTGCTCAAATAAGCAGCAGTCATATCCAATGATTTAGGACCTGTAGTGTGCACCTGTGATGCAGATGTGTTCTTGTTTGCATGGTTTTGGTTCTTTCTGCTGCTTCTGTTACTGACAAACAATTCTGACATTGTTTTAACATGAACATGCTTCTTTTCCACAGAAAACATTTTACTGGCCTAGGTTTGAAATGCTTTTTTTGCTACTAAAATGAACTGCAATTTGACTGAGATGTAGTCAAGCCTTTTGTTTTCATTTCTATTAGTTTGCTTGCTCTTGTACGTGGATTCCCTACCATTTAAAATTCCAGAGCAAGTTCTTCACAGCACTGTTGATCGGATAGTCAAAGACTCTTTTCAAGAGCTCAGTTTGTTAGACAGTTAGCAGCATTAAATGAGCTTAGCAGGGGAACCCCACCAGTTTTTTTATTTATTTATTTCTTTTCTATGTAATTAAATGGTTATTGTGTCAACAAAATCATTTAGAGTTAAAATGCTTCATCTTACTGAGTCAGAATTGCTCACAGTGGTTTTGATAGGAGCCAAACGTCTGAAGAGTTCAATGCCTCTAAAAGCTCCCTCACAGAAAGTTGTTTCATTAAATGGTTACGAACACGCTGCCTGATGTCTGAGATGTTGTCTCACGGTAGTTTTGTGATAAAGTTTTGTGATCTATTTTAATCAGTTTATTTGAATCAATTCATGGTCGAGGGATAAAACAAGGGTGATGTGAATCAAAACGGTCCCCAAAGAAAACCTTTTCAGATTGGCCACTATTTTTCCATTACCAACATTATATACACACACATATATATATATATATATATATATATATATATATATATATATATATATATATATATAAACTCAGAAGACATGTATATGTTCACTGGTGATTTTAGATAGTAAATAAAATGGCTATGTGTGCATTATAGACGTTGGGACCCCTGGTTCCTATCACGACCATTGCAAGGAAACCGGAGTCGGCAGGTTTCCCTACAAATTAACCATTCAACATCAAACCTATCTGAATTACTTTGAGTATCTAAACCACGAAATCATGCAAAAATTTTGAAAAATCAGTGGAAGTCCCCTTTAGCTACCTAACGTTACTCTCCTACTTGTTCCTCAGGTTAGCTGGCAAAATGGGGGCGATACAGAGAACCACGGACGTAAAATGATTTAATAACGTTTAGGTTTTCTTGAAACAGGAGAGTGGGCAGATTTCGCCAACTACACAGCCATAAAATAATGAAAATAACGTTTGAGCAACGACGTAGATCTCTGCCATTCTTTCTGCTTTGCTAGGCTGCCAACAAGTGACCAGACTGTCCAACTCTGCTTGGCCAATCGAGTAAACAATGGCCAAGTACTCCAAGTATAGATGACTAGACTCCATACATATTTTGCTGTGCTATTGAGCCCACTAGACGATAGCAGAAAAAAATACATCCCTAGGCTGGGCTAACATGCTGGCTTGCACGTTGCTATCGCTGCACATAGCCTGAATGCTACCAGCAGCCGCTCCGCTCTGAGGAAAACGATTCAGCGCACAGCCTTCCTGCTCCCTAGCCTGCTAGCCTAGCCTAGCTAGCTACATCGTAGTCCTTAACAGTGAAAAGAGTCCACTACCTGGGACTGAATTCAAAACCGAGCTCTTCTTCACAACCCTAGTTAAGAAGCTGTATTTTATGAATTGAAATTTCGCGTTCAACGGCGAATGATTATTACAAATAAACAGCATACGTTACCTCACGGCTCTTCGGGGCTGACAATATGGCGGCTCTTACAGACAGAGGGATTCGGCAAACAAGTTTAGCCGGAGAGGAGAAGAGGGGGTCATCCGCGCCTCCGGGGGGCGCAATCACAAATTCAGTTTCGGAAAAATGGGCGGGGTCTCAATCAGTTCTTGGTAAATCAAAGAATCCCGTTTAGTAAATCTCAGATTTCTTTAGAAGTGGGTACTGAAACACTCAAGAATAATAGCTAAATTTTATTCACATAAGATGAAATTTACCAGAAAAATAACTTCACACATGACTTTGAACGCACGGATCTATGTCATTACATATTTACATTAGTAAATTTGTGCCAGCAGCAAAATAAGAAATGTCGTACATCCATTGCTGTGCTGTTACGTGTATGTATGGTTATCTGCAATGAAAAAAAGATATTGAAACACATCATGTAACAGTACAAAAGAGACATTTTTTCCTCGTATATTTAATATTTTTTTTAACAAATTTTATACTCAGAAATGCAAGTTCAGAAAAAATAAACCATATTTTGATGTCTTTAAGAAGGAAAAGAAACTATACACTGATACAAAAGCACAACCCACACACACAAAAAGCCCTAAAAAGCATAGCAGTTTGCAAAGTACAATTATTTGTTTGTTTAAAGTTTCTGAAAATCATGTGTATCCTCTTTTTTCATTCGTTTGTAACTTGTATTTATCATTGTATTATCATACTTTATTTCGTTTATCCCTTGTTTTCTCCTTTTTCTCTTCTTGTTTTGTAAAATGACATTGGGCCTCATTCACCAATATCTTCCAAAGATTTTTCTTAAGTGTGTTCTTAGAAAGGTCCTAAGAAAAAGTCTACATCAGATTCATGACGTTTTCTTAAACTACAGAATTGTTCTCACCTTTTTGTGTTCTTGTGTGTAATGTGTGTAGATTCTGTTCTTACCTAAGAACAAATCTCAAATAAGAAAACATTGGGAAATGTCAAAATCTTAAAAAAAACTGCCGAAGTGGGTTTTGAGAAGAAATTTGTTCTTAAGTACAGTTGGTGAATGAGGTCCATTGTTCTTCACTTCATTCCTTGTGTATGTCACATTGATCTGCACTTACTGCATTAAAAGAAATAAAATGCATTATTATGGATGAAAGCTGAAAAACTTACAAGCACTGAGTGAATACTGATTGAAAAAGTCACTATCAAAAGCTACTTTGCATATCATTACACTCTAACCTCAGAGTTGGGATCTGCAGTATGAATGAGCAATACTTTTAATTTTCTTTCTGATCCAATACCAAGAGTTTTGGGCCGATGTTTTTTCCACAGTTTTTTATATAGGTGCCAATGCTGATTCATAAACATTTCTAAAACATAAGAATTGTGACTACATCTACCTAGACCTAGCATTAAAGAGAAATTACGTGTATTTCTTTAGGGTTACAAATGCAGTAAAACAAATAAATCTAGACATTTCAGCATAGTAGCCCAATGTTGCCTAAACATTCTATTCATCCAGAGTACAATAAATATATTGTAGTGTCGACACAGAAGACGACCCAGAGTCATTTTCTGTTCAGGAAAATGCTCTTTATTGAACAGACAGCAAAAGGGAACCAAACTACGGGGGAAATAGGATGGAGATCACCAAAAGCCAAACACAGCACAAGGATGGTAAAATACTACCAGCATGCTAATTAGCTGAAAAAGACACGATTAACCACAACCAAAACATATTTCAACATTAAACACCAACAACTAGCACATAAAATCTAAACTAAATAAAGGTTGCGGAGAGGCCCACAGCCTTCTGCGATTCCTCTATGTGCTTCTCTCCACTCTTTCAGTTGGCCCGAACCTTAACTCTATCATAAAATGCCATGGATATTGTGAGCGCTTAAAGAACACTAACCAGCTGCATGTTTCATTAGTATTACGTATATACAATGATCAGGCATAACATTATGACCACCTTCTGGTTTCTATGCTCATTGTCCATTTAATCAGCTCCACTTACTATATAGGTGCACTTTGCAGTTCTACAGTTACTGTAGTCCATCTGTTCCTCTGCATACTTCGTTAGCCCCCTTTTGCCCTGTTCTTCAGTGGGCAGGACCCCCATGGACCCTCACAGAGCAGGTACTATTTGGGTGGTGGGTCATTCTCAGCACTGCAGTAACACTGACGTGGTGGTGGTGTGCTACTGTGTGTTGTGCTGATATGAGTGGATCAGACACAGCAGTGCTGCTGGAGTTTTAGTGTCCACTCACTGTCCACTCTATTAGACACTCCTACCTCGTCAGCCCTCCTTGTAGATCTAAAGTCAGAGACGACAGCTCATCTGTTGCTGCACAGTTTGTGTTGGTCATCCTCTAGTCCTTCATCAGTGGTCACAGGATGCTGCCCACAGGACGCTGTTGGCTGGATATTTTTGGTTGGTGGACTGTTCTCAGTCCAGCAGTGACTGTCTGATCCACTGGCTAACAAAGTATGCAGAGAAACAGATGGACTACAGTCTGTAATTGTAGAACTATAAAGTGCAACTATATAGTAAGTGGAGCTGATAAAATGGACAATGAGCATAGAAACAAGGACGTCATAATGTCATAATGTTATGCCTGATCGGTATATATAACTCACAAACACTGTTCATTCAGAAAAAGTCCAAACTACCTCAAACTAAGATATTGCCAGATATCAGTGCTGATACCTTGAAAGAAAGATACAAAGGCTTACATAGAAATAAGGCATAGCATTAGTGGTAGATCAGTGTTCACTTAAATTGAACTAATAAATGCATAATTAGTTCTGTTTTAATGGCTTTAGTGCAGCACTATATGTGTAATGTTGAAGTATCTATTGCCATATCACTCAGGGCAGAGGGGGTGGAAGGAAAAGTAGTTCATATCCCGCACATTTATTTCCTACAATAATTTTTTACTTTTTCTGAATCAAAGACATTTGATTCCGTAAAAGGATAGATATTAATTTTAGTGCATAAATGAAACACTTCACACTTCAAACAATATTTTCATGTGATAATTTATTCTTAAAACGAAACACCAGGTTGGAAAATATTGATAATTCAGTATCGCACTGCCCACTTACTCTGCAATTTGGGCTGTCACAATCGTGAAATTTAACGGTTCATCGTCATATAAATTACTGTGATTAATGATTTAATTTTCTTGTTCGTTTTATGCAACTATGAAAATGCAGGCCTTAAGTGGCCATACTGACTGATTAGTTACTTTACTTGCTAGCTATGTTTACTTAGCAGCTGGACATACTCTTGTATCACATAGAACTATTTGTAGAATTAAGAAAAATTACAAGTTGTGTATAAATATAAGCAAAAAACACTGATTCTGCTAGCATGCATGCTAAAAAAAGTACTACATAGCTAACAAAAAAACAAACATTTCTCAGACTGCCCTCCAAACATGTTAAAGCACCAAATTACAAGCCAGAGATTTTTTGTTTACACAAGTCCCATGATGTCTTAATGAATGCATTTACTGCTTTTTTAGTCACATTTATTTGTCCTTAGCCAATACACCCGATTCTCTTTTGTTTATTGAAGCATAATATAATCGTGAAATCCAATGACGGTCGAAAATGATTGCTTACATATTTGCGATCAAATAATTATGATCATCTCAAATAACTGAATTAAGCAATTACGTATTAACTATGACAGGCTTTTTTGCAGTGAGGTGGCAGTACATGGTAGTCTGAAGTGAGAAACCAGCTCAAAAAATTTAGCTACTGGTGTACAATGAGAAGAATGTCTAGAAAAGTGTTCAGAATGAGCATAATATCAGACTGAAAAAGGAACTACAAAGTGTGTAAAGGGACCTGTAACTCTAGGAAGGTCTTGCAGAAAACAAAAATAATGGTTATTGCACTGGAGAACGCGGAGTTGTACGTTTTAACAGTTGTTACGATATTGTAACAGATATTGGGTACATCAAAACCCTGATCATGTTTATCTTGTGTAATCCTTAATTAAAACTCTAAAAAACAAATAAATTGTCTCAACATTGGTTCTCCCTGCTTTAATTTCTTTAGTGAAAAATAAAAAAATTGTCTTACCATCGTGGCCTGTCATTGAAGTCTCCGGAAAGCTTTTGGATGCACTGGAATTTGCTTATCAACACAGGCATCATTTACACTGAAGATAATTGGGACAAGTGTCACTTCTTGAAAAGCCTAATCACTTTCAGAAATGCCAACTGCAGCTAAGAGTGAACAATATCATCTTTGTTATGTGCTTGTTCTTATTAATGTTAATAGACAGACTAGTAGGTTATCAGGTCACACTAAGGTACAGTTTAAATAGATTTCCTCAGCAGAGCAATAGAAATCTAGCCCAGTGGTGCAAGCCCAAGCCAATGTTTAGTTGAACTACTACATTGATTTTCATGAATATATTAACAGGCCAAAAATAATGTGTTAATATATTAACATAAGCTGATAATAAAATTGGACCAACGTTGATGTCAGATGAATGCAGTCAGCCAGGATAGTTGAAGTTACCCTAGCAGGGTTCCACACTGAGTTTAGGCTTTTCATTTGGGTGTTTGAAGTGGAGTAATGTAATAGCAAACAAATCTAAAAAACTGAGACAGCTGTTAATCTGGTAACACTTTATTTGGATGGTCCACTGCAGATGCTTTGTAGATCCTCAGTCTATTTCTAACTTACTTTCAACTAAATATCTATTAAATGCAACTGACCTTGAAGTTGTGTGTGAAAGATTCTATTTCATCTAACTTAACCCTAAACCTGACCTTAACCCTAACCCTAACCTCCAGGCAAAACCTAATCTTAAACTTAATGTGGTTGGTAATCAACTGAGTATCACCAGAAAGTTTGTTAATAATGTAAGTATCTGTAGATCATCTATAGAGGACCATCCAAATGAAGTGTGACCGTTAATCTATTTTCCTCAAGTTAAGTTAAAGTGTTAGCATTAGCTTGTGTCCAGTATTGCAAGTAGGGTTTAGACAAGAACAAAACTGGGTTTCTATTCCGTCTCTGGAGGTTATGATATGGTGTCATCAAATGTATCTGAATTATGTTAGTTTAACTGTGTGTTGATCATCTTTATCACGAAGGTACATCAGTAAAGAAGGACAGATCTTCTGTAATTATAGAGAGAATACACACAGATTGACTTTTTTACACCCTTTCCTTGTCCTCAGCACTTTTAACTCAAAATGACACCTATTCTTATCAACATGGCAAAACTATTTTTAATGCTGAACATTCAGTAAACTTTTGAATGGGGTACAGATTCTTTGTAAACTTCTTGTCAGCTTCCACTGGTATGCAGAGTTGTGTAGCAACACTATGTTTACTGCTACTATTAGAAACACTTAATCTGTGTACTCACCTTAGTGGAGTGGAGTAAGAGGCTGTAGTACATCTATGCATGATTTGTTTTTGCCTTCCTTCTTCACTGATCAGTTTCAGACCATAGAACCACTTTTAACTGGATATTTTGGGGGCAGGCCTCTCTCGGCCCAGCAATGCTTCACCACTCAAACATTATTTTGTAAACAGTGCTCCTGTGTTCAGAAACTGACCAATAATGAATGGGGTAGAGGGTAGCTGATAAACTGTGCATGGGCTACAGTCAGTAATTGTATGCCTATAAGGCAGGCAAAGCTTATAAAGACAAACACTCTCAAATAACATTTGCAGGATCTACATTTCTGAACAAATTTCCAATCTGATGATTCTGTTAATAAGGATATTACATCACAGGACCATTAGTGTCCACTTGTGGACAATTTTGTTTGTCAGTATTATAAGCTCACTGTGATTTTCAATACTACCGAGGTTTAAGAGATGTTCCACAGCCTAATCTGAAACAAGTGAGGAGGTTCTGTGTTTTGAGGAAGCCAATAAAGTTGGAGTCATGGTTGACACAAGTTATAGGATTAGCTACACTAAGTACATCTTCAATAAAGCCATTTTATTTTCTTAGAACATTAAGCTCTTTTAATAAGAACTCGACCATCTTATCCCTTTTTGATCAATCTCTTATTGAGACTGAATTAACATTCTGAAGCTAATAGTTTGGCAAGACTAACATGTCACAAAGAATAAGCTTCTCTGCATAGCATTATCAGTGTGGCAGACAAGGTGCCTGGCACTAAACAAAGAAGCCTTGATGAAGTCTCTCAAACATGGCTAGAGGTAAATGAACACAAGGTGGTTTTCAATCCCAAATACAGACTTTTTAAAGAGGGTAAATTATTGCCCTTCGGGTGGCGCTTACGAGCTCAGATAGGCCAGGAATAATAGAAGGGAAAAGTCCAACATATGTGGGGTCAGAAAGTGACTCCACTAAGTTCTCTTTAAAATACTGGAAATTACAACGCAACAAGGGGATCGCAAAGATCTACAATCACCTTAATTTAATCTTAATATATATATTAATATATATATATATATACATACATCAGCATCAGTATATACATACATCAGCATCTGTCCACCACTGGTTCAGTACACTGTATCTACTTAACTTTAACCCTAGTCAGGTTAAAAGTAAGCCCAGATACACCTATAAGCATGTATAAAACTCACAGTTCTGATCAGGCAATTTCTTGTCATTTTGCACCGAACTGTTTTATTGTTTTCTTCCCTTGAATATAGTTGAGATATGCTTTAGAAAAAAAAAAAACTATTATATTTTATTGATGCTACAGAGGTCCACCACTAAATAACATGATAGGATGTAGAGTAATTCTCTACAGATTATTTTTCCCACAGTGCAAGCAACAGATTGGCCTCATGTGATACTCTATCTATATTAAAAAGCCATTCAGCACTATCAGCCTTTTAATAAATCCTGTCTGGTATGTGCTAGTCATAGAGTGTAATTTTTCATGATGATGGAAGGCAATGGAGATTGCCTCTAAATTATGATACTTCATTTACTAGGTTGGCTCTGTCTATACGATCCAGTGCTAGTTCAGAGAGGACAAAGGATTCCACAGACATGAGAATGGTAGTCACACATACTGTAGACTGAAGTAGGCCTTGAGGACATACTCTTCATCAGAATATCAGTATTTCCAATAAACATCAACCACTGCTTTACCTAAATCCTAAACTATATATCTAGTGTCAAGTGTATGCTTCTGACCTAGTAATTATTCAAACAAAAAGAGGTTAAGTTCAGCTTGAGTTCAGGTCAATCTTTACTACCTTTGGTCCCAGCAGAGTTTGCAGTGTCAAATACACCGTAATTTAGAGCACGCTTCATAATTCAATAATGTGTGTTGCAGTTCAGGTATCCAGTCACTTCCTTTCATGGAACATGCGCTGCATTGAAATTCGGGGGGTCCCGTATGCCCTGGGGCTTTCCTCACATACACATGTAAATCTGACCTTACCAACTTTCAAAGACTTCCCTCACGAATGTGTTCCATGAAAAGATAGCTAAGTGGCCATAATGCGAACTAGTGAGGTTAATTATCCTTTTACACTTAAAGAGAGAAATCCTTTTAGTGTGCAGACAGAGAGCTCCTTTGAGAGCAGACCGGGCCAGTCCTAAATACCAGAGCGAAGGACGTGTGAGATGTAACTCTAATACAGAGGACCACTTTCTCCCATTATCACCACTCTAACCTCTGTTCTGCTCGAGAGGGGCCTGTTCCATTTTGCCACAGGCCCCCATACAAATCCAGGAAATGTAAAACCCAGATGGGTAGACTTCCTGTCTTGTCTGGAGACGGCCCATTCATTTCTATTGGCATTCGTTCGGTCTGATAAAAGGCAAAAAGACCCAACAGATTGAATGACCACGACGGATGAGATCCTGGTAGAGACGTACAAGGGTATTAGTCTTAGAGGCATGAGTTTGTGGAAAGAGACATGTCTGTTCTGTGTGTATGGAATTTCCACATTTTCCCAAATAAGATTATAGATGTAGTTGTTTATCTCATGCTGCAGTTGCTGTCTGACCAATTCTTAGTCTTAGTAATTCTATGATTATTCAGGAAGCTAATGGGCTAAACACTGAGAATACTTTCTAATTCGTATGAAACTTTACTTGCATGAGAATTACACCTTGTAACTTTGTCATTTCATATTGCCTGAAGTCTGGTGGATTTTAGCCAACCTTGTATTCTTTATTGTAGAGTCACACAAGGCAAGCCAGCAGCAAATGTGACTTAGAATATTAAACATGAACAGAACATAAAATCAAAATCATATTCTCCCACCAGAATAGGTAGCACCTCATGAATGTTTCTTAGCCCCAACTCTTAGATTTGATGCTCACTCTTTTTACTAAGGAGTTAATTTTCTTATTCCAAAGGCACCAGACCACATGACCACTAATTCTGAAGCTAAAGCTGGATTTGTGCTTCCAGAAAGTGCCTGGGAAATGTTGGCTAAATTCCCCCAAACTGTCTTCATGGGCAGAAACCACGTATTAAGTTATGGATTTTCTCAGGAATGCCCCTTTAACCTGGCCATGAGTCGGTGGTTCTCTTGAAAATTACTCTCTAAGAAAGGTGGAACTTCCTGAGCACAGATCCCCTACTCTTTCGAAAGTAGTGATCCACAATGCCTTCATCAGTGTCCAGGAACCTTATCTTTGGCATTTTGTCAACAAAAGGCAAAAACAAGGCCCATTTCCCCAACACCAACCTTCTTAAAGAGTAAAAATTCTACTTATCCGCTGCCAGGTCGCTATTGCTTTACAGCCTAATTAGGTTAGCATTTCTCTCCAAAAAAGCTGCCCTCAGTGACCCAGGGAATCCCCCATTAAGTGTGTTTTTCCTCCGGCATGAAGCAGAGAAAACTACGCTGGCCTCTCGGGAGACTGGGCGCATTCACAGTGGCCCGGCAGGTTCAGGCCCACTGTTCAAAGCTTGCCGTCATCAACCCCGGCAATCAGCTCAGTGGGCAGCCATGACCTTGGTACCTGGCACCAGCTCTTAACACCACCTCAGCTAGTGTAGCGTAGAGACTGAACTTTCCACAGCCGAAACACCCCCTCCCCAATCCCCCCGCCCCCTCTTTCGAGAGAGAGAGAGAGAGAGAGAGAGAGAGAGAGAGAGAGAGAGACTTTTTGTGAAGGAGGAACAGTGGTGCAACATTTAATGTTAAATATGCAGCAGGTAACAAAGGTTTTCTGTGAGGTAAGGATTTGTCTTTGGGGGAGGGGTAATAGAGAATCTTTTAGGGAGAACGTAAGAAGGAAAGGGATATAGGAATCCTTACATTAAGCCACGCAATTAATGTAATCCTAGATGAAGCTGTTTTTACCCCCTCCTCTTCTTTCACAATAAGGGGTCCACCCCTCCTACGTTCCCAGTGGCCTTTGGATACGTATAAAAGCCCAGGCATCCTATGAATCCTCAGGAGCAGTGAAAGTGCAATATTAAGCTTTGTACTGTACATCACAGGATCCAGACCCTGACCTCCAAACATGTTGACCAGGTAAGAAGACATCACATTCTTATATTAATTTGTTGTATCCTGTTACAGCCTATCATGTTGGCTAAAAGAAAGTTTATTGTGCATATTATCACTTTGTAATAGATTTTATAGGTTTCATTTATTTTTCCCTACATGTTCAGCTTGTGGTTGGTTACCTGGTTGAAATCATGCAGTTATGAATAGTAATGTATAGCGTATGTCAGCATCCATAGCATTAACAATACAGCTAGAGTATATTCATATTGTTCTGAATATGTATATGCCTAAATATTTTTGCGATGACTTGACTAAACAAGGATGATCATGTGACAACACTTCTACAAGCACTAATTCTGATATTCATATATTGTATAAATCATGTTTCAGAGAAAATAAACAAGGAGTTTTTCAGTGTACTCAATCAATGAGCTATAATAAGGATCATGTGAGTTATTGAAATACTATTTAACATACAAATTCCTTACCAGAGGAGGCCACATCAAAATGTTCCAGCTCCCCTCTTTATTCTAGCTAAATGTAAATGTTCAAAACAGGGTGTGAACACCAAGACTATCATTCAATGCCACAATGCTATAATAATCAAAGAATTCTATATAAGAAAAAGTTGTAGTCCATGACTGTGAATGAAATTTATAGTTTCACTTATATTACACTGCTGATCTCAAAATTACTCCAAAGCATGACTTTGTTCTCTTTCAATGATGCAGGAATATTCTCATCTTCTGCGCGGTGACAGTGCTCCTGGCTGAGGCTGACCTTGATGCAGGTGAGTGTACTCAGAAAACATCTGTGCACAATTTCTTGGTCAAATCAAAAGACAGCACGTACATGACACTAGCAGTAAGGTTAACATAGTGTTATTAACCACTGTTATTTTCAGCTCTCTGTGGGTCCCTTCCAGTTACCAATAAAATAATCTATGCCTCTGATCTCTGAAAAACTGAAACAAGACTGAAAATTTCTCACAAATAACAGCATGTCAAAATCTATTTTATAGTTACATGATTATTATTAGAGTACTGAAGTTTAAGTTATATATGTGCTTTTAATTGTGCTTTAATTTCTGGAAAATGTATTCAAGTGTAAATATTTTAGAACCAAAATGTTAAAGGTTTCTGGAAAAAAATGTAATCAAAAGATCTGGATTAGGTTTGTTGGTGGATGTATGTTTTGTTGGTCAATGTGTGTAAATGCTTGTATTTTTCTTGCTAGTTGATGGGGGTCCCCAAGCCATGTCCACAGGTATGCATTTTTTTAAGTAGGTTACAGTTTGTTATTATTTTTATAAGCATCCATTATGAATTGAACAAGATGCGTACATTTAAATACAATATAAGTTAATACTGCAAAATAGCATAAACTCTTTCTGTTTCTGCCCACAGATCAGGACTCCACCTCCGATGAAGCTCCGACTGGTGAGTCTACAAGATGACTAGGTGTTTTTTGAGTCATGTCTTGGCCAGCAGTGTGTTTATATGGGTGAATCTCAGTTATGTCGTTTATGATTATCTTCACAGAAAGCATGAACTCAGTCTCACCTGACCAGCCCAATGGTGAGTATCTTGGATCTACCTGTGGCGTTATTTGATATTGATACAGTATAGATTAATCTAAACTAAAGCCTTTCGCTTGGTCTTGGTAAAGTTGTTCACTGGAGGGCTGTTCAGTCTGTGTTTGAGAGGTATACATTACTAACAACTGAAAATATATTTTTATAAAGTTCCTATATAGTTATTGGCTTGCATGCACAACTCTAAGAAAGAAAAACGTTATTTTTTGTTTATTGTTTTGTTTTATTTATTGTTTTGTTGTTTTTTTTTTTCTTTTTTCCATACTTTATGTGGAGGATCTTTAAATTTTAAATGGTTATTCAAACTCATACATCTCATTTATAAAAATGTTTCTTTAAAGAACCATCCACTGAAAGGTTCTTTAGAGTACCAAAAGTGGTGCTTCTATGGAATTGTTCCAAAGAACCCTTTTTAACATCTATATTTTTTAGCAAAGCTTTTTTCAGCATTATTTGGTTTGGTGCAGGTGGTGTTACAGGTTAAGGCTTTCTTTTGAAAAAGTTTCCTTTGAAAGATTGATTCCTAGACTTAAAAGCTTAAAGGTGCTGGTAACCAGTTTTTCAGAGTTTTAAATGATTACATAAATTGATAAATGAAGACAGGAATACACATATAGGAATTCCTGTTCTTGTGTAGTGCTTACACTAGCATGCTTCTTGTACACTATCATTACACGTAATTACTATAGCTCAGTTCAAACATTTTGAAAAACCTTTGCCAATGTGGTAAACTCCTGAAATAGTCTAGTAACAGACTACCATCTAGTGGTAGAATTAAATTCTACAAGCTCTGGCCACTCTGGAAACCCTTCGACTCTACATCAGTGAATGGCAGGCAAATAACAGAAATTCAGTATGCTGTAAATAGACGGCAATATTGGTACAAGCACGGCATCTTGGAAGATTCTAAAAAAATTGTTCAGCTTATTAATTTTCACTAATACTTTACTGATATACTGACTTTACTGATATGTCTTCTATTTAGCAACTAGGCTCATAGTCACAGAAACATTGCAAACATATTGATGTGTTTGAGTGGACAGCATAACATAATTACCCCAGAAGTTCAATTTTTTGTTTATTTTAAAATAAAAAAAACTACTTTGATCTAGTTGAATGCAAGTAATATATTTCCATTTACTTACTGCTAATTTCCTGATTCCTATGGCACAAATTTGTAAAATTTCAGTGCATTATAGTTTCATACATACAACCTTCATAGTGGCTAACAAATAATTTATAGCAGTTGATTTATAATAAGCCTATAAGCTAAGAATTTAAGTGGTTCAACTATAATTACAACCCCATCACCCAAACAAAAAAAAACAACTTTTTTTTGAATTACAGATGAGCCACAGCATTACAATGGAGCCACTGCAGGTAAGGATGGGGGCAACAGCTTGAATCACACTGATGATATCTCTTTGAAAACTACATAAAGATTGTCAATATTAAAAGGATGTTCAGTGAGACTGGTAAAGAAAAAATAACAATATCTTATTATGTTGTGTAGATGCAAGTAGCACAAGCGCAGAAGCTGGCCAGGCCAGTGGTGAGTCTATTCATTTTGTGAAATAAATACATTTAAATAGATGTAGAATAGACTAAATAGATGTCCAACATCTCTTTCTCATATTTTCTTTTAAGGCCCTCAAGTCAATGATGTGACAACAGCTGGTGAGTTCCAGTAAAATGCACATCACACTTCACACATTAACAATAAGATTTGTAGGGTGCAAGTATCAGAATCAGTGCTTGAGTTTCTAGGAGGTTATGTCTACTGTGTTTGAGTGGAAGATAAAGAGAAACGGAACAAGAATACTTTTAGCTGAGAGACACTTGATTGAATTTCAGAAAAATTAACACAATGCACAAATTTGAGGGATTTTTTTGTTGCTTTTTTGTTGTTTGGTTGGAGTCAGGCCCATCATTAACCGTTTACTTGTTTATATTACACTGAATGCATGCATTGAAAAACATCTCGTGTTGTTAAGAACATTTGTTTTTTTTGTAGATGGCACCAAATCCAGCACTGAAGAACAAGATGGTAAATGGCTCATGTTGAAACTCATTCTGATTCAAAAGAGAGGCAATGTGTAAAATTCCATTTTTATAAGCTGAAATGGTTGCTATAGGTAAAAGAAAAGAAATTATGTGGAAATTATGTACAGATTGGGATTAAGCAGTTTAAGATGATGCATCATTTTTTTCATAGTACTGGATAGAAGCAATCCCTTAAACCAAAGAATACCTGATTAAATTCTCTGGAAAGGCACTGGAGGCAACTTTGTTCATTACTATATATCTTATTTATTGACTTTCTATGCTCTTTGATTTTTTTTAAAGGACTTCTCTATGTAAAGCTGTGTATGAAATGTGCAATACAAACTTGCTTTGCCAATGAACAGTGCAAACAGTGTTGTGACTATGAAAATTGTCCTCCTCAGAGAATGAGAGTCCAGAGTCAGAGGAAGTTGTGAAAGCTGCTCCAGTGCAGCGCGCTGCTAAAGTACACAATGCTTCACCGCGCAAACGCAGCAAGCCTGTCATCGCCTCAAAGAAGAGGACGAGACCCTTTCGCCCCTGAAAAAGCCTAGGAAGTATACACAGGGAGGATGCAGATGCAAACTACTAATGCCAAGGCAATGAAATGAGGGGAAAAAAACAATTCTGTATTCAGTGGCATGTTTGTTTTGTTTTGTTTTGTTCAAATTCAATAACCACAGTTTAGATCTGATTCTGTTGTGAGGTACTGTACTGGCTGTTTGTGTTTGTTTGCTTGTTGTTTGTTCATTTGTCTGGTCACTTGTTTGTTGTGAACGTGGCATTCAGCACAGACATTACAGTCTCAAGGGCATTTCTCTGTTGCTTCACAGACCAAACTGTTTTCAGTTAGGCTTCATGAATGGGCCAGCCAAAGTCACCCATTTACCACGCTCAGTTCCTATGAGTGATGTGACTCATTCCTGAGCAGAAACCAAACAGTGACGCTGTGTGCTCATATCTTCATGGTTACAATACTTATTGAACAATTCCTTCTCTTCATACCATTCAAGGGAATGCTAAACAAATCTCAGAATCCCAGACTTGATGACGCTACATTTCATTGGTGCTGACTACCTGAAGACTGTGTACTCAGACTAGCCATAGCTTTTAGAGAATAGTTAAAACAATTTTTAAATGAAAGCAAAACGCAAAAGCCTTGCTCACAACACAAAGTCAGTGTTTAAATCAAAAGTGTTTCTCTCTTTTTTTGTCATTGATCACTTTTTTATACACGCAGTATTTAACATTATTGAATATCATTTTCAAGTATCAAAATCAAAAATGTGTTATCCTTAAGCATTTCTTTCTTTATATTTTATGTCCAAATAAACTTCAAAGCAAACAAGACTTAACTCATAGGTACTGTGTGTCCCCTCGTTTTGCTGTGTCTTCTGTGTATGTGTGTGAGCGCCAGGGCAGAAAAAAGATATAGCCCTCATTACATAATGATACTACAACAATAACAACACTGCTGCTACTACTACTACTAATAATAATAATAATGATAATAGTAATATTGTTATTATTATAGTAGCAATAGTACTGATAATCCTAATATAATATTAATAGCAATAGTAATAGTACATCAAAAACAAATTACAAGATTGGTGGATTTCCTATTCCTATTCTATACCTTATATATTCTTACATTTTTATTATTTTTCTAAAATGCCTGCTGACAAAATCTGGAATCACTCCCTCTACAACAGATATAATCATGGTGCCTTTATATATCAGTGCTTTCAAAGAATAAACAAAACACCTTATTTTCTTTTCTCAGAAATGACAATAACTTATTCTATATTGTTAATCTAAAATATGGCTAATTTCAACTTTATTATAATCTTTTTCTTCAGTGGTTTACAAGACTTCAGTGACTGGTAGAACTCTTTACGCTTTTGTTATATAAACTCAAAACTACCAGGCATTATATCGTTTAAAGTTACATTTGCATCACATCATTGTCCAAGTAGGTTGTAGAAAGAAGGCTGTGTCTGTATTTCAGACATTGAAAACACTCTATACCTCTCTCCCACACTATATGCCCTGTTTCTCCCCATCATCACCGCTCTGGCCTGGTAAAGGTCAGGCTTTTCTCTTGCGCTGAAGCTGATACCCGGTTGGAGTCCCGGGCCTCTCGTTCCACTCCCCTGTGACGCACTCCAATACTCAATCTGCACGTCGTGGAGTCAGTACGCCTGTAGCTCTGACTGAGGTACTTCTACTTTCCGTTCTACTTAGCTCTTCATCATCAGAAGGTTGAAAAGTCAAGTCGTAATGGTTTACCGTGCTGCCGCCTCCTTATAATCCCTGAGTGTATGCCTTCTACGAAAACTGGCCTCCTGCCTGTGACACTGAGGTGCTGTGTACCAGCCAGGTGTAAACCACACTGCTGCTCGTCTTTCTCAGATCCAATCGGCCTTTTTAAGCTTCACTGGGCGCCAGTGTTGCTTTCCCTGGGTTTCCCCCCTTTACAAGGCTATATTTCAAGCATCGCTCTGTTAAAGCAAGCCCAGCACATCAAATGCTCAGGCTAAGATCGTGTTTTGATTGATGTCAGACTAAATGTCACCCTGGACTATAGTGTTTTTTTTTCTGAAATGCAACAAGTGACTTTTCTACACTTCTATAAAGATGTACACTACCATTCAAAATTTTGGAATCACTGTTGCATAGTTTGGAATCAGAATTTCTGGAATTCAGTTAATGATATTGCAGCCTACACTGTACAAGTTATTACTGTACATAAATGATACAGATTATTGAATTTTATAAGTGAACATTCTCCTGGGTTGACCACACCATCAGACCTCCCAATATAGGCTTAGTTGTCTGGGGGCATGGTTCCCCAGGGGAAGATTTTTAATGGCCCCAAAATGTCTGTATATCATGGACTTTTGGACGAGCAACAGACAGAAGTGTTATCAAAAAATGGCAATTTGGTCAAATCGGCACACAGTAAATCTGTCTCTTTGTAGTTTGCATTAAGCACAAAAGAGGTGAAAGAAGTCTAGAGAATCTGTTGCTATTCTCGTAATAAAAGTCTCTCAACAGTTAAGCAGATGATTGTAAGGCTGAAAGTTCAGAATAAGTTACAAAGCCAAACCATGTCAAAACAATAGGTGTGTCAAAGTCAAATGTTTGATACATTACTAAGAAAGAAATCACTGGTAAGCTCAGATACTACTTGAAAAGGGCCACAAATTGAAATGTTCTTACAGTCTAAGTTTACTACCTTACTTGTACCCGAGCATGCATTTCACTTAAGTGACTGCATTAAAGGCCTGGCAAAAAAGGCAAGTTATCCAGCATCTAGTGATTTCTGTAGATGCCAGACCTCAGAGGATTTGCAATCAAGTAGTAAAGGTGTCAGTCTTGTCCAAGATTATGCAGAACAGGAAGGTGAAGATTTCTGTGTAGACTCTGCTGACCATTCCTCAGACAGGCAAATGCAGGGATATAAGTGAAGCTTGAAATGAACACAGCAGAGCAGTGTGTTTCTGAATAGGGTCAGCTGTCAACTCTCACGTGAGCCTTCTTAAAGTCACCTAAGCTCTGGCTGCACACAAGCTAGCACGTACAGTAAAATCTCATTTTGTTCCCCTGCTTAATCTTTGGGTTTAGCTTTTAATTTTGAAGGAAACCTACAGCACTGTGCAAAAGTCAGAGATCACACTTCATTTGTTTAATTTTCAATCAAAACAGCCAATAAGTTATTCATTTTTCAGCATCAGTAACAAACAGCACAAAACATATATTTAACAGAAAATTACACAGAAGCCTCAACAACTAAATAGAATTTTGAAAAATTCAGCATTTCAGCTGGTTGCATTTTCTCACAATACAAATAATCCCAAATACTTTCAATGATGTTGAGGTCTGGACTCAAGGGAAGCCTGTCCTTTTTTGTGAGAACACCAGCAGCTTCTTTGTTTGATTTGCAAATTTTCCTTTTTTTCCTGAACAGCTTTCTGACAGATACACATTCTTTCAGAGGTTGAACAGAAACAGATCTTATGCAAGACTGGACCTTGATTAGCTCCTCTAAAGATGAAAGCATTAAGTACTGTTAATCTAATGATAAGAATTTTGGTGGTGATCTAATCCACTCAGAAATATCTCCTGAAAAATTAATACTTAAGGGCCATTTTGTCTGGAAATTAAATAAATTAAGGGTCTCTGATTTTTAAGCCAGGGTCACCAAATTGATGTTACCTGGGTCAAATTCTCTGAGAGCAAATCCTCTTTGGGTCATAACTTTTACTGATTAGCCAGTTAGTAACCAGAAGTAACACACAAAACACACTGCAAAACAAGCTGCATCTGACTGATCTGTAATAAACCAGTCAGTTATATTACTGCTAACACAACTCATATAGCTTCTTTAATGTGCTATGCACAATGCCTTCTATCTTGTAAAAAAAGTGTTTCCTTCATTATATATGATAGAATATCCTCGATATGTGGTTACACATTTCAATAGGTTTTCATGGTAAGATAATTAAAATTAAAAATTTAATGTAAAAATGTGTCGGAAGATGGAAATTTGTAATCCCAGTTAGAAAGCCTTTTATGAGTCCCCCCAGTGACTGCAATTACCAAAGAATCATTTGAGAGCCCAATGGACATGAGAAACAAGTGTTTTAAAGTGTTTGGACCATTATCTCAGAAGTGTGTGGTCCAGGAAGAGTTTCAGTCTGAGGTGAATGGTGCCAACTAACAAAGCCCCTCTGTTTCCCAGTGAGTCCAGGTCCCCCTTGGTATCAGCTTCACAGCTTACTGTGCCAGGATCTGAGACATCTTAAGTGTGAAAATTAAACTTTATCCTCTACAAGCATGCTTTAATTTACTCTTATTTCTCCCCATGCTATCAAGAGATGATTACATTGTTCCTTTGTGAAATGGCTCATTTTTAGGAATGAACACATCTTGTTTGGAATCACACCTTAAGAATAGAAGCCATCTTTGCTCATCAACTTTGATACTCACTACAGTCCTCTACTGGCAATGAAAGGTGTTACATATCAGATGTGGATGCATATTTGAAGTTTTCATTTTTGCTCTGTCATGTATAATGACCTCATATTCAGGCACTGCCCTGGTGAGCAAACCTGTTTTCCACTGTGTAACTCTGGCCTCACCGGACAGAGATACGGCTATGGGCTCAATAGACGTCACAGAGATGGATTTGTCCGAAGGTTCAGCACAAACAACCTTTTTTTCCTCAACTGAGCCAAGACACATTCTTACATTTCAAACATGGTTGCCATTGACTTTGTCTTATAAAAGGGTGGTCAGAATGGGAGGAACAGACTATTAGACAACGTTTGCATCTGCTATCCTTAGCCTAATGCTTAGTCTAACAAAATTCTCTGTATAAAATGTGGTTTTGCCAGTATAACCTGTGGATTTTACATTGTCAAGGCAAATCAAAGATAGGACACGTGAGATCAGTAGCTACACATGTCTAATTTAAAAAATAATACATTTTACCAGATTATATTAGGCTACTGAATGAACACAAATGATAAACAGTAATCAAAACTAGAATTATAGAATAAACTGTGCAACGCAGAAAGTTTTT